GGAGGATGGTATGGCAGCGGCCAGGGAGAAAAGGCCGAGAAGGGCAATCTTCAGAGTTGCGTGCATCTTGATGGGAGTTATGTTGATTGTAAGGAGTGTGTCGATATCAATGTGAGAAGTCAGTGGGTTATCGTATGGTGAGAAATGACCTCGATACATGGGAAAGGCGCCACGACTATCCTTTATAGATACAACATTCAAAGGCCGTAAGCTACGTCAGGAGTCGGTACGACTTTTCGTACATCGTACAATGTCATGTTGAGTATTATCTCTCCAGAACCCACAAAGTAAAGTTCTGCGGTCATCCGCGGGATAGATTATCGTTACTCGGTGTTTTCGGAAATTTTAGTTATTATCCTGGCTAGTTAGATATCTATAGGTGGAAGCGTCGGTTATTGTCAGTTACGTGAGTCGCCCATATAATAAGGTTCTCAGTTTAATACCGATACCACCTTATACGACTTTTCGTACATCGTACAATGTCATGTTGCGTATTATCCCTCCGGAACCCACAAAGTAAATTTCTGCGGTCATCCGCGGGATAGATTATTTTTACTCGGTATTTTCGGAAATGGCAATTATTATCTTGACTAGTTAGATATTTATAGGCGGAAGCGTCGGTTATTATTACTTACGTAGGCCGCCTATATAATAAGGTTTTTAGTCTAATACCGATATTACTTTATATATATAGTGTCCCTTAGGGCATAGTTCACCCAGCCGCGAATATAGTGCTTGGGGCAAACATGCAAAGTCATCCCGCCGGTTTATGAGTCGCTCAGCCTCAGGGTTGAATGAGGGTACGGACACTCCGTACTACTATTTCTGTTGTGAGTGAAGCAGCATGGAGGTGTAATGCGGAGTTTTGAACCTTAATAAGGATATGAGTAAGTGCCGTTGTACTATTTATATGTCTGCTATTCCTCTCCTCTTAATTGAAAGACTTTAACTTAGGCATCTGGTCAGAAAGGAAGAGCCTAAGCAAGTTTCTGGAGACACCGGAGCTGATACCCTGGGAAGCCGAAACAGGTAATTGTCTATTATGACATAGCAAGAAGTGTCTTTCAGCCTTTGGCAATACGACACAGCTCTAAAGCTCAATCTAACCCAATGTCAGTCAAGAAAAATGTTTTCCATGTCAAGTTTAGTCTGTATGTCACTGCCCTAGAGTGTTGTCCAGCTGCGTTATGCATGCCAGATTGGGCCATAAGATGGAATATGCAGGGATCCTGCTAGATTCCAAGGTGAAACAGTTGCAGTCCAATCCTTGGTTGATGATCCCAAGTCCGTTTCAATCACGGGGAACCAGGTGTTTGAACCGTCCACAGTAAGACAACGGGATCGGGAGATGAAAGAAGGCCGGGGCCGGCCAGATAAATACAACTCGTAGTGAAGCAGCCGAACCCCAAACAATCGGCTCGTCGCGACGCGATCTACGCCGGCGTGGACACACACACTTTCGGCACCGGAGCGGCGATCGGAAAGAACAGCAAAGTTTCAGAATTCTGGTCAGCTGTGTTGATGAGTCAGGGAAACATGGTTATCCGACGAGATCCGGCTCCGACTCGCAACAGCCCGAGTTGCCACATGTCGCACGGGACTGGTGGAAAGAGAAACAATCCTCGGGCTGAAAATCCACGCCACGGATGTCGCTCCCTGAGGGTCTCCATATGCGGCTGCGCCCTGCAGAAAGTAAATGCAAACATGCGTACGTTCTGTCGTTGATTTGAGTCTTCCGAATAGCTTTTGGTTCCCGGAAGGCAGCGAGCATGGCCCAGAATCCACCGGTTTCCGCCGTCCTGCCGGCCGTGTGGGGGCCCGAGTGGTGTCCGAAGTCGCATGGCGGCGATTGCGCCATATGTCGCCATACCTGAGCCCCAGCGTCTGGCAAGCCTGGATCCTCTTATCGGCAATTTCTGTTTCAGCAATTTTGGCAAAGCTCTTGTAGCTACCTTTTGCTAACCTTTGAATGATGTGCACCCTGTCAAAGGGTTTCTTCTCAGATGCCCATTGTCTGACTGGCCGAGGGAAAGGGGAAACATTGAGTATGATGTCAGGCCTGATTGGCCGGTGTTGCGGCGTTGCCTTCCTCCCCAATGTATGGGAAACTTGGAGTGCCACACCGGACGCATGGCATGGTTGTTCATTGTGGATCTGGAAAGGTTCATCCCAGCTGCATCAGAGTTTGGAGAGCCGATGACACCTTCCTTTTATTCCATCTGCTGGCTTGCGGCTCTGCGAATCTCTCCTCCACACAACCCATCATTCAATCTATCAGCATGGCCCGCCCAAAGACATTGCATAGTGGTGAAGGATCAGAGAGGGTAGTTGACGAAAGGTCGCCGTTGTTATCGAATACTCGACGGGGGTCGAGTTCGTCAGGTGAGAGCTCCTTGACTTCTTCGTCTTCTAGCGGAGACTCGGACAGCCAATTCCTTCCATGGCATCTCACACGGTCGTCAGAAGTCGTCGATTCGAGCGTCGATGTCGAACGAGTAGTACCCGTTGCTGCTGCCAGCGATGATGTCAAGCCGCAAGCCACAGGAACTTCGACTTGGGCAGTGATCAAGATCGTGTCTATCTTGTTGGTTGGAACTTTCACTGCTAATGCCGACGGTTCTCTGGTGATGGCAACGCACCCGACGATTGCGTCCGAATTTGACGACCTCGAGAATTCTAGCTGGCTCTTTGTATCTTTTGCATTGGCAGGAGCGGCAACCCAGACTTTGGTTCGTAATCCTCCCAAAGAGTTGAGTGGGTTTGGCGACTAACACTGTGGAAAGTATGGCAAGCTCAGCGACATTTACGGGCGCCGTGCTCTCCTCATGGTGGCTTATACCCTATTTTCCATTGGATGGTAGGCTCGATCATTGGTTTCCGCATGAATGTCAACTAACTGTTTAAAGCGCAATGGTAGGCGTTGGCCGCACAATGTGGCAGGTTGTGCTAGGCCGTGTTATTTCAGGATCTGGTGGCTCGGCATTGAACGTCCTTGGGCTGCTTTTGGTGACAGGTAGAACACGACCGAGGATCTTTACGGCATGCCTTAACTAACCTTGATAGATCTCGTCCCGCTCCGTGACGTGGCCGCTTGGCAGGCAGGTATCAACCTGGCCGCAACAGTAGGACGAAGCCTTGGTGGACCTGTGGGAGGTTGGCTAGCCGACACCATTGGATGGCGATGGTCTTTCCTCGGCCAGGCTCCCATCTTCTTAGTTGCAGTCTTGCTGTGTTGGTTCTTCCTGCCGAGAGGCAAGCTACTTGGAAAGGGACAGGAACACGCGGAAGCAAGCGGCAAGCCTGTCGACGGCAAAAAGAGCTCCTTGGCGAGGATCGACTTCCTGGGCGCTGCATTGTTGGCACTCTTCATCTTGACCTTTCTGCTTCCGATTGAGATCGGAGGCACCAAGATACCGTGGAACCATCCGCTTATCTTCATTATTTTTGGTGTAGCAGCCGTGTTTGGTGGTCTCTTTGCCGCCGTCGAAGAGTGGTGGGCCAAGGAGCCAATCTTTCCGCTAGAACTTCTGAAGCATCGCGATATCGTCTTGACGTACGTCATGAGCGGTGGGCAGGTCGCAGCTCAACTCGGCCTCATGTTCTCGGTTCCGCTCTATTTTCAGGTGACACAACGAGTGTCCAATACTGTTGCTGGAATACATCTCTTCCCCGCTGTCTTTGGAAATGCCATCGGCGGCGTCCTTGCTGGATATCTGATCAGAAAGTAGGTCAACCCTCGGGCCTCAAGATCATTGTTGATAGCGACTTACTAACCCGCACAGAACTGGTCGTTACAAATCTCTGTTGATCATTGCAACGATCGCATCAATGTTCTCTTACGTGCTTCTGCTACTCCGGTGGCACGGGGATACCAATGCTTGGGAGTCGCTCTACATCGTGCCTGGTGGTTTTGGGGCTGGCCTGGTACAGTCGGCGGGATTCATCAGCATTCAAGCCGCAGCCAACCCCAAGCACAAGGCCGCAGTGACGTCGGGAATGTTCTTGACTTTCCAAATCGGCATGATTCTGGGCCTGTCATGTGTTAGCGCCGTCATGATGGAGACGATGAGATGGCGGCTAGATGCACTGCTGGAAGGCATGGACCTCAGCGTAGTGGTGCGAAAGCAGGTAAGCAGAGGCCATTCGTTGATGTTCATATGATAAAGGCGTTGCTGGTGCTAACATTAACTCGGATAGATTATCGCAAAAGCCACTTCCAGCGTCGACTATATCGATCATGCGGATAAACAAGTTTCAGCAGCCATAGTTCAGGCGTACGTCGAGGGTTTGGGCTTCAGCCACGGCTTTTCACTCATATCATCAGTGCTGGCATTGATCGCGGCTGTTTTTGTAAGAGAGCACAAGTTGTGATATAAAGCGTTGGCGAGCGTAGTGGAGCAGGACTTTTTCATCGTACCCGGCCATTGATTGCTTATGTAGAGCTGTGGAACTTTTGGCTTTGCGAAGAGAGTGAGGCGGGATTGCGAGGACATTGCATAGGTATGCATAGAAGTTCAGTAGATGAAAAGAAGAGTTGATCTTGAAAACATCACGAAGATGCCTGTCCAGGTGCACAGTAATCAGAAAGACTTACCACGTTACCGATACACTGTGTTTTCCTTGAGTGGACCGTGCGCAACACGTTTTCGTGGCCGGTGTATCAAGGTGAATGGAAAGCACCTCATCTCATCAAATAACAACCGCTGCAGCACCGAGAACTTCCTCTCAGCAGAATCTTTCCAACTGCGCCGTTTGCAATATACCTAGTACTGAAAGAACTCAGCGACGACTCTTGACAAGCTCGACGTTCAGAGGTGGAATTGCAGTCTGCCTAGATCACCTCCGCTACTGATACCCGACTCCCTGTTGACATTCCGGCCTCGCCGTCGCCTCATCACCACCACCCTCAGGTGCCGCTACCAACATCATCATACAAGACCGCGCACCACAGGGAAAAGGAAAAGATTGATTAAATCCTTTACCAACAAAAATCAGCGACGATGCCGCCCGGGGCTATTCGTTTTACTCTCTCCGTCGATGACCTACATGCCTTGGGGATACCCCGCGACTTGGACCCCAACTTGATAGCAGAACTGCTCCAGAGAATTGGGACGGTCTCAGGGATTCCAGGACTGCCGCAGCCAAAGCCAAAGCCAAAGCAAGAGCAGAAGCATCCCTGCCGCAACTGTCTTGACATCTATCACAAGACGAAGCATTGCCCGGTTCCCTGCGGCCACTGCGGCCAGGACTGGCACAACGTCGACGCCTGCACCAGCTCCAAGCGCAACCGCTGCCGCTGCAGCCCCTTTCCTCAACGACACCTCGCCAAGCAATGTCCCAAGATGTGTACACCGGGTGAATGTCCCACCTTTCATGTTGGCGACAAGATCACAGCCATGATGTGCAAGGTCCGCTGCTGCATGTGTGGTATTCCGGGCCACGCCGGCCGTGATTGTCACCTGAAGAAGTGCCGCTGCGGAGGGGAGCACTTGACCGTGGACCACATGCCCATGGATCGGCAGTGCGTCGTGCTGGACTGCCCGCGATGGTTCTGCACCAAGCATTGCCAGGCTTGCGAGATCGAGCTAGAGAAACTCAACGATGAGGTATGCCGGAGCTGCGGTGCCAAGCAGCAAATCCGGCCCTCTGTGCCACGGAAGCACCTACCGACGAATCCTGATTACGAATATGTGGTCGCAGCGATGGTATGGGGCAACAGCAAGTATGGCAAGGCTATATTTGGCAATAAGGTCACATTCCAAAAGCCGCCAATGGAGGAAGATCCGGGAGCGAAAGCAGCATAAAGTGGCTTGGAGGAGTGACGATATATCATATCCTTGAGCCGTCACGTTCAACATAATGAACCCCGTATACACATGTCTACTGAGCTTGAAATTGGAGCATCTACACCTCTTAGACTTGAGTTTTCATAAAATAGACTCTTGGTATTACTAGACCCGAAGATGTCGAGCTGGAAAACCACCTTTGCAAATCTAGACCCGAGGCAATATCGGGGTCTTGTCAAGAATGCCGCATGTATGGTGGATGGTATCACGCGACGAAATCATCCTTTTAACTCCCCGCCAAAAGCAAACCCGCCCAGAAGTGTGTGCAAAGAACCTAGCAAAACGCCCCCAGTGAACATAAATAAGGAAAGTGCTTTTTCAGTCATCCTCCCAGCCGCATCCATCGTCATCCACCTCGACCTTGGTGCCAAGAGCCTCTCTGCCTTGGCGAATCATCTCCTTGAGCCTCTGGTTGAAATCATTAATCCGCGCATCGGTGTCATGTTCGTCTTTGATTCGCCTAGCTGCTAGCTTCTTGGCCTCCACGTCGAGCCGGGGGCTTGCACGGATAGAGTCTACTCCAAACTCCTTGAGTTTACCTCGAGGTGACGCTGCCGAGGCGCTGCTGTTGGAGCGGCGATGCGAACGTACAGGTGGGCTCATTAATGATTGCGCTGGTGACGGAATGGCACTTTGGCGCCGGGCTGAGACGGTCGTTTTCGCGAATGGATTCGGGCTCGAGCCAGCGGACTGCATGGGAAGTGGAATACGGCTTGGCGAAGGCCCGGTCAAAGACCTAGGCGGCTCCGGCGATCTCACACTGGCGAAGCTTGCTGGTTCCTGATATGACAGCGGTGCGGTGTCGGAGACGTTGTATTCGTGGCTGGTAATAGATTGGCGGCGGTTGTGAATTGGGATCGAGCTGAGACGAGGCTTTGGAACACTAATCCTTCGGCCTGTGACCATGGAAGGGCGCATGTTGCGGGATGCTGGTCGCATCGATGCCCTCGACACTGGCCGGTTGCCTGGTGCTGACTCGTCCACCACAACCCAGTTTCGCAGCTCGTCGTGATTCCCGGCACTCGTCTGTCGGCGTTTCACGGCCGGTCGCGAAGGGGTGGCCTCGACGTCGGCCTCGACCTCGGGTTCGGGATTCAGGGCTTGGTGTGGCTCCTGGGCATACGATGTGAAGTTAGGTTGAGGGAATCCGCCGGGTGGCGTAGTATCCCCAATGGGACTCTCCAAGTTTTGGGGACTTTGTGGTTGTCTCCATTCGTACTTCTCGCTGAACTTCTCGGATGGTTCGGGCTGAGGTACAGGCAAAGTTGAAGTTGCAGCTGAGGATGGACGAATGCTCTGGCCATCAATGGTATAAGCCTTGCCGCCCCCGGCGGAGAAGCCGATGAAGGCGCCAGCTTTGCAGAATTCCCAGACCTTGCCTACAACCCCACCAATAGTGTTGAACGCAAATCGGCTCCAACCGCCGGCGACCGGATGGCTAGGCTGGACCAATACCATGGGCTGGCCTGGAATAGGCGATTCCATTTCTTCGTGCGGTCGTTTTGATCCCAAGGCTCTACGGTAATCGCCGTCCGAGTACATGCTCTCATCCAAGTTACCGTTGTCGAAAGGCGTGTTGATGCCGGCACCAGGTGTCTCGAGCTGGCCAGCCAGAGTGTATCGGGCTCCTCGGATCGGTAAAGGGGTCTCGTGTCTAGGGAGTTCGCTCGAGCCGTCTAGATTCATGGTGCCATCGTTCCATTGGTTCAGTGGGGTTGCCGCGCGGGAGGCATCGTTGCGCCGTTTTCTCTTTGCCTGGGCTGATGGTGTATTTGCCTCGGCGTGAAAGCTATTTGCCCTGGCGAAACAGTAGGAAGAGCCGGCGGAGGGAGAAGCGGGTGGTCGGAAGACGCCAGGGTGAACTCCGGCGGGTTGTGCGTCAAAGTAGGTGCCGGGCATTCGGTATTGGGATGTGAAGGCCATGGTACAGGTCGGTGCAGGCGTCGGAGGCCAGGGCGACGGAACAAGGGATGTCGGAGGGCTCACGGGTGAGGCAGGGAAAAAAAGTCGCGGGAACCACGGCAAGGGGGGCCGAAGTGGTGACTGTCGGAGTGTTCGTGTGGTGATTCACAATGTCGCAGAGCCTAGACGAAAGCTCATGATCGACCCGGAAACTAAGTCCCTGGCCTGAGTCTCGGGTCTCGGGTTTGGTGATGAAGACAAGCCGTAGTGCGCTGGGTCGTTCGTTGTCCGTCGTGCGACAGGCCGTGCGATGGCTGGCAGCAGGCGAGCGCTGTCAAATTGGGGAGAGAAACGCGCAAAGATGAAGCAACGAAGGATTCCCGTGTTGACAAGGCGCGCGTGCTCACTCGGACGATGTGTTGGTGTGTCGGCAGGCAGCTGTGGTTTGGTTGGAGAAGAGCGACCGTGGTCAAGTAATTTTTTGGGGGGTCCCCGGGGCGAGATAGGTTGGGTGACCTGTAAAGTAGCAGGGAACAGCTATGGGCAGCCAACAAGCTCGGTCCTGGAGTTGGGGAGAGCTTCGAGTGCCGGCAACAGCCGCTGATGATGAGTGTCTTGATTGGATGTCGCGCGTGTCGGTTGGATGGTCTAGACCCCGTAAAAAGGGACGGCGCTCAGGGTGACGTCGAGTTTGTCATGCGCTCCTTTGGAAGAACCTAAGGGATTGATTGTGTATGGTGCAGCCTGGAGATGTGCTGCGTGGCGATCAAATGGTTCCTTGGCAGTCGATGCAGACGATAGAAAGAAAAGTAGACGGGAGGGAAAGGCACACCGACAGCACAATAATTGTACGGGCCTGGATGTATGCGTATCCGCTGCCTGTCCCTGAATCAAAAGTCTGCACTAAAACTCAGACGAGGCGAAGAGAGATGGGAGGTTGGCGAGGAAGGATGTTAGACAGGGGGGGAATTGAGGTGCACTTATTTTTTTTTACAGTGAGTCTGTGGCTGCGCGTCGTGTCATTTATTCTGTTCGCTTTGCCTTTCCGCACCACCCGGTGATGCACGTCTGTCAGTGTCAAGCTGATATTAAGATTAATCTTTCTTCAGGGTCTCGCGAATCCGCGATGGCTCCTTCTCAAGGTTCCCTGCACTGCACCTTCCCCCCGGAAAATACTAAGAAAAAAAAAAAACACACTAGCCTCTTTTTTAGCGAGAGGCGTTATCCGTAGCTGTCTCAAAGAAGGAAGGCGCCATCGGTTGCCGGGGTAGATGATCATCTCGAGGTCCGAGCGCGTGGCTCAGCGAGAATGTAAACAGAGGGGCAGAACAACGGGGCGGTGATCCGGTGCCTGCCGTCGGTATCGGGAAGCACTCACACCCGTGGACCTCGCTCTGGACGGATATGCATGGGATCGTATAGATACTCACAGAGTTGCATCATTCGTCACTGCTCCTCTGGGTCTATAACCATAAAGTCATTATTGTTTGCTAAGCTCCTCCTCATGCCCCAGGTATCATCTATCATACGCTACATGCGACACAATGCAATGCAAGCAATTTGTGCCAGGAGCCATGACCTAGTTTCCTCTTCGCGGCTCTAGAATCTGTCCTACCTTCATAAGCACAACGGCGCCCAGGTTGAGGGTGACCAACACCGCTGACAGTTTTCACAGTCCCAAGTATCCGCTCCCTAGTACCAGAGTGCATGGCTCTCGTCAGTCGTCTATTCGGCACTTGCATTATTTACGCTCGTAGTAATCGTCTTGCTGCTGGCGCCGGTCTTCCTGAACACCTCCTTCGGTGCCAGCCTCGCCATGGACGTGCTGTTGAGTGCCCCAGAAATGCTCGCGCTCCTTGAGCAGAGCGTCCGCCCATTCCTTGGTCTCGGGCAACGTGAACTTGGTCGCGACGTAGGCAAATTCGCCCAAGTCAAGTTTACCCTGGCCACGCTTCTCATACTCCATCATCTGGAGAAGCAGCTCCATCTTGTCCAGATCGTGCACGTAATGGCTGTTGAGGGTCTGGGAGTCCTCGTACTCCTGCCAGATCTCGCGGATCTCGGCACCTGGAACGCCGCCGTAGACACTGCCGAGCAGGTTCTTGGTAATGTAGTCCATCGTCTCAGCCTCACGTCTATTCTTCTCGGGCTTCGCGACCCCATCGACGGGCGTGATGTCTCCAACCAGAGACTCGGCCATGTCGTGTATCAGGCACATCTTCATGCATCGCGCGAGATCGAGACGGGGCGCAAGGGCGGGCGGGGCGAGCATCGACAAGAGGGACATGCGGTACATGTGGTCGGCGATGGATTCTCCTCTATAAAGGCCCTTGCATTAGCGGACTCCGACATCTATGTATCCGTACCTTGCAACAAAAACTTGCCAAGTAGGTACAGTACTAACCTTGCGATACCGAAGCGGCGCCAGCCCTCACGCTTTGTGGTCTTGAGGCGCTCAATCAGATGGAAGTAAGGGAGCGGTGAGCCGGCCTCTGCAGGTCCTGTGGTGCCTGGAGAAATTTCCAGAGCCTTCTCGACGGTCCATGTTCCTTGGACTTTGGGGGTTTCGACGTGGCCCAAGTCTGCGCAAAAGATCAGCAAAGGAGAGCAAGAAGGCAGCCGCGAAGACTGGGTAGACCTACTCTTGATGTCCACCTCGCCATTGGCGCTGGAAGCACTGTTGGTGCCGTTGGGACCTGCGGAAGACATGATCGTTGAGTCGCTTGTACTCGTGGATGGATCGTCACAGCACAACTGTTCCTGTTTCGCGGAGGGGAAGAAATGCGACAGAGCAGCTTTCTCGTGGAGCGGGGCAAAACACGCAGAGTGGAGGGAGAGAGTTGGTGGACGAAGCAAGGCAATTATCGCGGGGTCCGTTGCTGGCGCTAAAGTGATGGATTCAGCCCAATGCAAGATCACTGATCGCTGGTGCGAGAGAACAAGAAGCGACGAGGAAAGAGGCTGGAGGAACAGGCCTGACTGATATCAGAAAATGGAATGCGAAAGTTAAGGCAGGTTAGGAAAGCACGATTGAGGAACTGAAGAAAAAAGCAAACGGCTATGGCAGAAAGGGGTCTTTCCGTTCCTGCCTGTGTTTGTCTTTCAGCCTCCAAGGAAGGGTCATCCCAGCTTGATGTCACCACCGTCACAGGCAACTGCGACTGCTAGCAGCTGGCCGCCTGTCTTATCGGCTTTTTACATTCACGACAGACGGCAGGCGGCCCCGACCGAAAGAGAGCCAACCTGCCTGCCCTGGAAATTCCATGGAGCTCGGCCCCACTCACATTCTGCAACCATTCAGCGGCCCGCCATTTGCGATCCTGCTATTCCGGTCGGGTTTCCCATCTTTCAGAAATACCCGACCTTACAAACTTCCGTGTCCACGGCAGATGGGTATTTAATGCATAGAACCGGCGCTTCGCCGTTAGAGATATCAGTTCTGCAATAAGAGTGGACAGCCGACATCGTTGTTAAAGCTCTACTTAGGCCCTGATCTCCTCGCGGCCAAGGCCAATTGCCAGTCGCCAGAGGGTACAGCGCCACTGGAAGTGCCACGGCCCCGCAGAGCAATTGTACCGCCGTATTGGGCCGTAGGACCGGGCCACTGCCGGGGCGCCGTTGAGCCTCGGGGGGGATAATACGTGTGCTTCCAGCGGCGGGAAGGGTTCTGGCAACAGAACTGGCAATAGGCACAGCTTCTCAGAAAACCAGTTCTGAGCATGGAATCAGCCCTTTTGGCAACAACTATACCATCTCCGGCCTGTCTCAGCCACTGATTCAGAAAAGAACATTGCATAACTTTGGTGTAGATGAGAGACCGGATCCGGCAGCCAAACTACAGCCAGAAGAGGTTTGGCATCACGGAAAAGGGTTTTCCGTTGTTTTTATGCACCGATTACATCAGCACTGGCAACTGGCAATTGGCTTTGGACGCGAGGAGATCAGGGCCTTAACTACCTCTTGCAGCTAAGCCACTGAGCCAAGAAGAGACCTACAAATCATAGTCCGGAATCTCAACGGTACTGTTTGCTCCCAACGCCTCCTTGATTGCTTGGCAAACAATCAGTGCAGCAAGACCTGCCTGCGGCGAGCAGCTGGGTGATTCTTTGCCTTGGATCACACGGCAGAAATGCGCAAGCTGCAGTTCAAACGGGATTCCATCTTCTACCGCCAACTTCTCTTTCGCCATCTCGGAATGCCACGACTTATTCGTGCCCTTGTACGACCATATCGACAAGTCAGGCACGCTGAGTGTTCCCTCGGAGCCAAATATTTGGTAAAAGTTCTGTCCCGTCTTGGGAACCAGAGGATTCTCGCCCGTCCCCGCCTCAAAGTTGTAGGGCGATGGGACGTTGTCCGAGATGAGGAACGTCCCGACAGCACCTGATTTGAATCGAAGTGTGAGGGCCGCACCTTCTTCGGCTTCATGACCTCGCTGCGATGCAGTCTTTTCCGCATGGACTCTGGTGATTGGCCCTAAAAGATGATGAAGCAGGTCGATTTCGTGGATTGCATTGATCAAGATGACTCCTCCGTCTTTTCCCTGCCTCCATTCGGTAGGGGCCTCGAAGTAATCGCCCGGCTTGTAGGTGGTCCAGAGCCCGTTGATGGCCATGATCTTGCCTAGAGCTCCAGAATCGAGTACTTTTTTGGTACTGATGATGTAGGGATTGAATCGTCGATGATGCCCTACGAGTGTCTTGACTTCGGTGGTTTGGAGATGACTCAGTAGCTCGGTGCCACTCGGGATATCGGAGCTGATGGGCTTCTCCACGAGCACATGGACCCCTCCCGAGGAAAGCTGCTTCGAAACGGCGACATGTGTGTGGTTCGGGGTGCAAACAATTGCGGCTTGAGGCACATGTTCCGATTGCAGAAGGTCGCCAACAGAGGTGTAGTGTGCTACATTCAACTCAGCTGCCAGTTGAGCTCCAGCTGGCGCGGGATCGACCACGGCGACAAGCTCCGCCTCGGAGCTCTGGACGACTGTTCTGGCATGTCTCGGGCCAATCAGACCTGTGCCGATACTCGCAAAAGAGATTCTGTCTTGGTGGCTCGTCATATTAGGACAATTGATGATTGGCAAAGACTTGATGGATATCCTACTCAAAAGTAGTGAAACACGCACGATGAGAGTTCAAGTTGGCAAGGTTGAGAACTTGAGCAATAAGCCGAGTCAGAATTCTCTCAAGTACAGGACGCAGGAGCCTTGCTCCACCCTACTCATGGACTGCAATGGAGCAAACCTCAGTTTTCTATATATCAGAGTCCCGCGACATTGAATAACCGGCTTGGCATCAAAGCGGAACTGCGTTTACCCTGCACCATACAAGAGTCTACTTGAATCTCTAATAGCTGGCGTGCGGCAAAGATATCATGCGTGCGCGCTGGAAACGATTTTGGGCCTGACTGACACGATAATCGGCTTGGCCCGCCCCACCCCCCGCATAGCCAAGTGTTGGTTGGCTGAACCCCGCATTCCCCAGCCCATCGCGGGGAAGGACTCTTGACAGAGCCGAGATCGGTTTTGGTGAGATCGAGACCTACCTGTATTTGTTTACTTACTTGATGTTTCGTTTATCACGATGAAAGCCGGCGACTCTAGCATTTAAACGACTGTGGCCTCTTCTTTGGGCTCATTATATCTACCGTTTCCGCAAGTTGTCACAACTGGCTTAATCCCGTGTTTGCAGGCGAGGATGGAGATGATGGGCTTGGCGTCTCTTTTCAACTCGCATTGTAAAGCGAAAAAGATGATTTTCACAGGATTTGGACTTACGAATGGGTAATTTGAAGGTAGACTGACTGCCGTAAATAGTTTGAGAAGAACAGAAGGGAAGCTTGTTTGATTGGAGGTCTTGTATACTATGAGCATCGAGACAAGCACCATGGCCGTCATCGAGGTAAGCAGCACTTGAGAAAGGGCATTGCCTTGTAGCTTAGTACCATTGTGGGTGGAGAAGGAAGTGGTAAGATGCGGGGTCAATGGGAAGCGCTCCAACGGGAATAGATCACCCGGCCTCATGTCATGAGATCAACAGTAATATTTTGTGGGCGACCGAACGTTCTAGGAAGACCTTGACATGGCAGTCTCTATGATAAACTTCGCTAGGATTTGAACCATTGCGCATCCCAGGATGCGCCTATATTCTCCCTCCCAAAGTCCTCCGATCTCCTTGCACGGTTCGGTTCGATAACATCCGAAGTTGTTGGGCAAGGTTTAGTCTGATGCCTTGTGCCTTTGAATGAAGTTGCCAAGCTTGCCAGGCTTGTTCTGGTAAAAGCAAATGGGACTAGACAATTGGAGTCTTTCTCGCTAGGGCTCACTGTACATCAACACTACCCCATGCCTCCATTAACCTCATCGAGAAGGGATTCAACCAGAAAGGTTGTGTACCCCAAGTGAAGGATTACGCACCTAACTAACAGCATCCACGAATGTGAGGGGAAATTGTGGATCTCTGAGAGGCCCGGGCCTTGTTTACAACATAACGGACGAGGGGTTCACTCTTCCGATGGGACGAAGGATTGCTGTAACCTGTTGCTCGGGCTTATAAGATGCACTCGTCGCATGTCGCATCTGAAAGAGGGGCGAGCATAGCGCCGAGGAAAAGCGGTATAAGAGGATGGCTATAGTCTCCCGAAAATAAGGTCTGCGTCGCAGTCGATCGTTGTTCAAAGAATCCACTGGCTCAAAGCCCCGAACTTTCTTCTAGATATGCGGCTTCTTGTTGCTCTCCTCGTGGCATCGCTGCTATCACTTTCTGTGATTGCCGACTCAGACAAGGATAGTGGCCAAAGCCCCAAGTTCTATAACTCAGCGCACCATGCAGCCGCAGATCCTTATGTCTTTTATGACTTCGAGAAGGGCCAGTACTATGCGTATTCCACCGAGGGAGCCGATGAAGGATATCACTTTGCTATCTACATCAGCCCGGACCTTTCGACATGGCGCAAACATCCAGGAGGCGTCTTGAAAGCTTGTTACGACGATCAGATGAAACGAATAGATGGTGGTCAAGCTTGCTGGGCCCGAGATTGGTTTTGGGCCCCTGAAACCTACTACAACGAGAGAACCGGATGGTACTTCTTCATTTTCGCTGGCCGTCTACGGGAAGATCTGGCCAAGGATCACTTTCGATATTCCAAATTTGAGGAGCCCTCCAAGCTAGGAATTGCTGTCTCCCGCTCGCCTACAGGTCCTTTCAACGAGATCCGGCCAGAACCAATTGGCTACTATCCCTATGATCCGGATTATCACGACATCAATCTGGTCATGGATGATCAGCAAATGCTGCCACCAGAAAGTCTGGCCCAGGGAGAAGCTGCGCCAAAGGGCACATACATACCTACTATAGATCCCAACATTTTCTTCGACAATGACGGCCGAATTTACTTATACACTTCACGAAATGCCTACCGAAATTGGAATTGGGACAGTTCCCTGGGAAAATATATCGAAGAATCCAACATCGTCGTGGTTGAACTGGACCGGAAATGGTGGGATGATCCGTTTGCACGAACGATGCCGGAGATTGCCTCGTCTCAAATCAATCTACATGCAGACAATGCTACCGAACTACCGTCAAACATCACCTCCTATAACGGCACCGGCGAGATCGGAGATCCTCCTCGCAAAGACGGTTGGAAGACCGTCATTTCCTACGGCGCCGATCCGCAAGACTGGGAGAATTTCCACGTGGATGACTACGTTAAGTTCAATGGCACGAAGAAGAATCGCCGCTGGTCGGAAGGGAGCACGATCATTACTCGAAAAGGAAGTAGCGGCAAGTCGATATACTTGCTGACCTATAGTGCCAACAATTATGAAGCTTCCAATTACGGCGTCGGGTTTGCAACGGCAGAATCACCTCTGGGACCATTCAAGAAATCGTCGAAAAATCCTGTTCTCTCTCAAGCTCCCGATGGAGACTTGCCTATCTATTCAACGGGCCATGGGAGTATTGTTGCGTCACCTCCACCCAACAACAGAGTCAAGTTTGGCGCGCAAGAGGTCACAAGAAAAAGTCTGGATGGTACAGAGCTGTTCTATGTACATCATGCACGAAACGACACCACAAGAGATCGCTCCATCTACACCACACGCATGGAACTCAACGATTCTGCGATCTTTGTTGGCTCTGATGATGCAATTAGCATGAGGCTGACACCGCTTGACCAATCTCTCCCTGAAAACACTTACCCAATCAAGTTTCAAGTCAGTTGCTCCGGCGATCGAAGCTCTGGTGCTCGGTTCGACGTTCGTGTCATCTCAAAAGCTGGCGCTCCCTTTGACCTCATGGAGGGAACGAATAGAGTGGTTTCTCTTCCTGGTGCCATTGAATCAACTTCCATTGAGTCTGCCAAGAGGCGAGACGGTGGGTACATTCTAAACTTCAACGGCACATCAGTGAGGGAGCTAGCATATCAACGATTAAGTGTCGACAGAAATTGGGTAACAGTTGAAAGCAAGGAGATCAGATGTAAAACAACACAGCGTCGTTTCCTGACGCAATTATGAAGGCGATTTCATATGAAATCGGAGGAAGACAGACCAGGATTTATCTAGCAGTGGCTTAGAGGTTGCCTGATCTTGTCGGTAAGGTAGCACCGTCACGTCTTGAAGCAATTCGACGTTCCTCAAATAAGGGAGAAGGCGGTCGATTTGTTTTCAACTATAACATTCACTGTAGATGAGCATGATCACATTTGACTTATATTTCACTCTCAAATCATGTAAAGTTCGACGCCAATCATTGACCCATATCTTCCTAGAACAGGAGTGACGTCTCTAATTCCGGGACAAGAATCAGTTCACTCTCGTGCCACGGGTGTCATAGCCAGCCAAAGGAGAGGTTCGCAAAATAATGTAGATAACTATGTGATCTAAGGTACAGGCATTCGGTAGCCTAATGCAGCACCATATTGGATGGCAAAGGCTGTACATAGTACTAGTGTTGTGGTGTCTCGTCATGACCCAAGTGAAGGCAGGAGATGAAATCTCGATTCAAAGACTTTGGGTAACTTTGGTCTTAAAGAATGACTTTAAAGCCTCAGACAGACGGGTGACTGTCATTTCACCAGTCTTTGGGCACGGCATCAATGTACAGGCTGACAGGCCCCTGGCTGGTGCAGACGGTGGATCCCAAAGGACCCGCGTGGCAGTACGTGGGGACATCCCGGTAGCCAGAGGCGCCGCTTCTGAAGTTGAAGTTAGTAGATGTTCTCCAAGATGGAATGAACAATGGTAGCTTACGCAACTCCCCAGCGGTGATAAATGCGAACACCCCAGGTGTCGAAGATCCCTTTAACAAGGGCAAAGCTGTATTTGCTACTGCCACAAGAATACTTTTCTGCGAGGACGACGTCCCCAGTGACTCCACAGTACAGGTTGTCGGCATCATGAGCGGTGATGTGAAGCCCAACGCTGTCTACTGCCCCTTCAGGCTGGTGTCGGGTAGAGAAGTCAAGTATCAAGACATCCTCCACCAATGAAGGATTGGACTGGGGAGCAGGAGCAGCCAGAGCTGCCGATCCAAGAGCGATGAGTGTGAGAGTTGTGAACCGCATTGCGCCCTGGCCCCGCGTTGGTGACTTTAGCGGGAGAAGTGTGATTTAATCTAGGATGGTACCCACAGAGATTTGAATGAATTGTTGGGAGTTTTGGATGTAATGAATGCCGATGATGGAAGCTCAAAAGTCGAGTTGAATAGAGGAAGTCGAATCCTTAAATATTCAAAGGCACTCATCAACTCCATCAGAAGCCGGTATGCTCATAGAAGGCAGACATCCCAAAATAGAGACCCTAAGCTGGAGTGACCAGCCAAGCGGTCAAAGACATGTAAACTGCGGGCCTTGGTTTACGAGATGTTGCATTCAGCGGCCTCGAAGCCGACAAGCGCTGGAGAACGTAGCATCACAAGACCAATGATCGTGTATCTGCACATCAAGAGAGAATGCAAGAAGCGGACTTCCATTGTGATGTGCCGCCTCGTATTGAGTTTTCCGCCACATTTACATATGTGTTAATAGTATGAGCCCCCGGGATGCCCGAAGTTCTCAGTAATAATTACTAGCCAGACCAGATGCCGCATGTTAGCTTGGCACAGGCAAACGGCGTTGGCCGATCTGTAGCTGCAACTTCAGGCTTCAGAATCCAGTCTGAGGTTATTACTCTACCTATGCAATTACGACATACTGCTAGAAAAAGTAAAAGACAGCAGTTGACAAGAAATGTCATGCTCACACGTTTGTATGGGATGTAATATTGAAAATTCAGTGACAAAGCATTCCGAATACGAACCCAAATCCACTGTTCCGGGCTTAGTTTGGTTGCATCAATTGGATCACGAGCTGCTGTTGCTTACTCAGGACCACATCGACGAAACGTAGTGTCAGGCTCATCCCAGTACACTCGTTACAACGATTGTCACACTATGCCTATGAAACAATATGGTCTTACACAAGCATGACTAAGTTTGCCAAGGATATGCCAGTATAAAGGGTCTTCCACTCACTATATAGATAGTCGGGATATTCCCATAGCCACTCGTTCTTCATACTCATCAATACATCCCATTGACCCCCTACCTGATAATCTCTGCCCAACACGTAGTTTGATGAAAATTAGCGAGGCAAAGCTGCCTTACTTGCACCATGAGCTTATGCATACTTATTATATAATCTCATTAGTGGAGTCTGGCATTGCTTCGAGTTGAAATTCTTGCGTAAACGACAATCACTCATTTTGCCTGACCTCCTGGCTTGCATCGATGTGACGTGGCATCGTCTGGGCAGGAGGGTGTTTCTCTTCCTGGTGATCTTGTTCTTTATGCCAAGCCGAGCTCCTCAGCTCGCTTACCGACCACATAAGTGCGCCAACCCCATAGAACCCAAATTCGAGCGACGAGGCTCATTTAGGGCACCCATTCCTGCTAAATGCGTCCATATGTTGTTGACTCTACGACTAACTCAGTTGACGCTGATAGTCCCATGAATCCTCTCAAGACTGGCAACCCTGGCGAAAGGAGAGAGTTGACCTTTCAATCTACCAAGTGTGCATTCTGCGAGGGAGTAGCTGTCCATTCGATGTACCTGCATTTACTCCGAGTTCGAAGCCCAGGGCCTTCAGAGAATTGAACCCCATCTGGAAGACGTTCTTCCTAAGAAATCATGAATCACACCTAGCTGCCATGGTTCTCCAGTCTTGCAATCCTTCATGGTCGCTCAATCGTTTTCCAGGTTGAAAAGCCCTTTCCTAGCTGATTCAGACTTTTCCGCCAGTACTGCGAGTCAACATTATTCTGCCGGCATGATAGCGCTGCCTTGATCCCGGGGCATCAAAGATAATCCATAACTTTGTTTTCGTAGCAAGACTTATTATGTCTGGTGGTGATGATAACAATCGGTCATGAATGTTGCTATGGTGAACTTGCGAAGGGCGTGTGGGGTGTAGCTTATCGGGCAATCTGGAATGACACGAACTTGAACATATTCCTCACATGGATCGAATCTTACTGATACCACGTAAACTTCTGTGGCATGTGGCAACTGGCATTAAGGTTGCGAGAGGATGATTCCTATGTCGGGCACACTTGCCGCTTTTCATAGTAAGTCAACCCACCCACTTTCGGCCCACCCCCCCTTTCGGCCACCCCAACGAAAATGGTCTCAGATCACCACCACCAAGTACACTCAATTAATTAACTACCTTCCACTGCCACTACAATACACTCACTACCGTCACTAGGTAAATCGACACTTGCAAGTCAACTGGGACTAACAAGACGTTCGCCAGAATCCTTCTAAGCTCTCTATATGTCCTTAATATTAGCGAACCTGGTATTAGGGTCTATTTATACAGTCTTCTTCTTCCTAGGGGCTATGCGGGTAACTCTGGCTTTAAGAATTCGAACTTGGTACCGAGAGGTGGCTAACTAGTAAGCTTTTTCGTTAAAGCTTTCTTGACCTTCCTAAAGAGCAGTCGTTAGGTAGTGTAGTCTGGACTAAGCTCTATAAATAGCTTCAAGTAGCCAGACAGCTCGCTGGCCTTCCTAGGAGTTAACCAGTCAACAATAGACGTCGCTACTGCCCAGTCAATAACTCCCAGGGCATTACCAGTTACTTACCCAGTATTTGCGGTATTATTTAATAGTATGGCTAGGCTAGGCAGGACTATTAGGTTAGTAAGTGGTCGATCTATATTGATTAGCCATAGTCCAGTTACTCTCTAACCACTTCGTGTATTAAACGACGTTAAACCCGCCAAACGAGCCCTCAAATAGCAGTCTAAGAAGTACCGCTTTCCAAAGATAATAGAATTGTCTATTATATCGCACTTTCCGAGCTCCTTCCTGTAAGTGGACTTCATTAGTCCAAAAACAGCCATATCTAGGGGCTAAAGGACATGAGAGGTATATGGTTGCAAGAAGAGCAAGTAGACGTTATTACTAAAGCACTCCCACATAAATTCAGTCGTCGTATGACTCCCATGGTGTTACGACCCAACATGAAGACCAGGGCGTGCCCCGCTGACGCCTAGCGGCTACGGCGCATCATATATGCAGGACGGGACGGAACATTGGGGAAACCCCAGGAACGGAAGAACTATGGTACAAGTTACGTGATGATAAGAGATATGATAAGGGATAAGGATATGTTGGATATTCGGCACTTCACAACAACAGATAATGGGTGGACGACCGACCAGACTGCCCTCCATTGGCTGAAGGAGGTGTTCTTGCCAGAGACCCAGACCCCCCCCTTAGGGACCCCCTTGGTCGACTTAACGGTCAAAAGGAGCCTCGACTGTTGGTTCTGGATGGCCATGTGTTACGGCCAGCTAGTCGTAGGGGTAGTTTGCAGAAGTTGAGGCTGCGGAACTGGTAACAGTAATCGTAGTCGGGGATAGCTTCAGGGAAGCTATGTCTGTCAATCGTAAGGGTAGGTAAGGCTTCGGTGATCAATCGTAGTCTTGTCAAGGTAGTAGCTGAAAGCGGATGTTAATCCTGATACGAAGTTAATTGCTGAAGAAGCTATGGAAAGTCTGTCCTAGAGCCCAGCTCGAGTCCATCCTTATATACAAGTCCGATCCTAACTGAACAGTGCTGAACAGTCCACTTTGTCTGGATATGTTGGATATGCCGAATATCCAACATATCCTTGACTCGGTTGGATATGTCGCATATCCAACATATCCTTATCCCTTATCATATCTCTTATCATCACGTAACTTGTACCATAGTTCTTCCGTTCCTAGGGTTTCCCCAATGTTCCGAATGTTCCGTCCCGTCCTGCATATATGATGCGCCGTAGCCGCTAGGCGTCAGCGGGGCACGCCCTGGTCTCATGTTGGGTCGTAACACGAAAGTGGGTGGGTTGACTTACGTTATCTGTATCTAAGGTACCTTTAGACTTGCCTGCGGGGTTCGGGTTCTCCTGCCCAACTGGATGCGTCTGCCACCTCTGGCCCACTTAACTAATGTGCCTGCCTGTCCCAAAGAGTGTTAGAAGTGAATGAGCATAACGCTCTTTTCGACATCTAGGGTACTCTCGCATCGGCTTCTCTTGCACTTGTTCATCCACGCCTGAATCTCACAGGTACTTTCTGGCTGCAATCCATGAAATCAGTAGAGCTGTTACATGTGATACTTGGTCATATTTCACCCGAAAAAGACAATGAGTCCAGTTACCTGTGGATGCGACACAGTCACCCCTGTACTGGTAGTTGACTCGGCTTCACTTGACGAAATGGATAGTAATGATCTCAAGACTTAGCTGCCGTCTCACTACATAACGGTCTATGGCGATGCAGTATATAATGTCTCAAGATTCATCATCTAGTAGAACATACTCCTTTGACCACACCCACTTCGTTGAAGACAGACCAAGGTTCAAATCAACCCGACATTCTCAACATCGAATTATATTCTCACGATTAGCTTATACTACCCGACATGGAGGATAAAGGCGCCACACTCGACATGTCTCTGTTCTTTGGAACAGAAGAGCAAAAAAGGCAATTCTGCAATGAGCTACTTCGTTTGCTCAAATCGCGAGGCGGCGTCAAGATTCAAAATCATAGCATACCAGCAGAGGACATCCACCAACTATTCGAGATGGTAAGTTCAAAACAGTACGGACCAATTGAGATGAAAGCTGATCACAACAACAGAGTCGAAAATTCTTTGCTTTGCCACTGGAGGAGAAGATGAAAGCCAAGCACCCGCCTCAAGCCAATCCGAACCGAGGATACAGCTTTGTCGGTCAAGAGAATGTCGCAAACATCAGTGGATACGAGAAGGGCCTAGGGCCAGGCAAAACTCGCGATATCAAGGTACTGCATGCTGCGAAAAGGATAGACCCAGGGCCCGGTTGACTAACACGACTAGGAAACTCTGGACATGGGCAGCTCGCACGATGACCTGTTGGACAACCTTTGGGTCCCTGAAGAGAGCCTTCCTGGCTTCCGAAACTTCATGGAATCCTTCTACGAAAAGGCTTACAAAACCGAGATCCAGCTCCTTTCTGCTCTCACGATTGCTCTTGGGGTATCAGAAGAATATCTAAGGACACTTCATAACCGGGCGGAGAACGAGTTTCGTCTTCTTCATTACCCGGCGATTCCTGCCACGGAGCTCGCGGATGGTACAGCCACACGTATTGCCGAGCACACCGACTTCGGAACCATCACCATGCTTTTTCAAGATTCCATCGGAGGCCTTCAAGTAGAGGATCAAAATCAGCCTGGAGTCTTCCGAAGCGTGGAATCCTTAGCGCCCACCGACATCATCTTCAACATCGGCGATTCTTTGCAACGCTTGACCAACGACGCTTTCCGTGCTGCTTGCCATCGTGTCACGTACCCTCCTGCAATCAAGGCTGGCGACAACTTTAAGATTCCTGAGCGGTACTCTATTGCGTATTTCGTGAAGCCGAATCGCCATGCGTCTTTGCTTCCTATGAAGGAGTTTATCACAGAAGCTACCCCGTGCCACTACGATGATGTGACTTCGTGGGAATGGAACAACCGAAGGATTGCCAAGCTGTTTGGGTAGGGCATAGTTCTCAGAACGAGGTCTGAATGGAGGATTGGCTCTGCTCTGAATACAGACTAAGGCTGGTGGTGGTATAATGATAGAGGTCTTGGGTGTATGGAGCTGGGTGCATGTAGCGATAGTTTCCGGGGTCACTTTCCAATTTAGTCCAGAGCCAATAGTAGACTTGAAACGATTGACCCGGGGATTGGCAATTACTCTGTCCACACGGTTAATTGTACGAATGAACCTTACCCTAAAGCAGCTGCACGAGTCGGCTCCGAGTCCCCTAATCATGGAAGAATAATCACAGTAGTTCACAAAGGTTTGAAATGTACAGCTTTTCTTGTCTCACTCCGCGGGGGTAATAAATGGTGTACCTGGCTATTGATCAAAGGTGCAGCACTTATCGCTAACTGTTCCCGCGGAGGCCTGCCAATAACAGTTGCAATACAGACCTGACTTGCATGTGGGACCAAGATAATACATATTGGACACATGTCCGTATATGCATTTCTTCCCCAGACAATGCTTCTCCAAAACCAATGCGGAGACAATCTCTATACATTGCCGAGTCATATATGCCGGGCCATCTTGCCAAAGAACGTGTTATCTCTCGTCCTCTGCGGAAGTCTTTGTTTTCACCGATTGCTTCCACCGGTATCCTCAAGTCCCTTACCTCAAGCCTGTAGGGCATCGACTGCATCATGCACACGTCGAGATCCAGAGGAACACATTCTTTTGAAGGATGTAAGACGTGCAGGAAACGTCACCTGAAATATGACCAGACCACACCCAGGTGCAGAAGATGTTGCATCTCAGGCTTGGAATGCGATTTCAAAGCGGCTCTTCGCTGGGTTGTAGTGGCTGGCCCGGACGACTCTAGCACGTTCTTTCCTCCTGCAAATGACGCCGCACAGTATTCTAGGCGTCACTTGTACTCTGGTGAGTCCGAGGTCTTTGATTTGTGATCGTATAGCTGAATATGCAGTGTTACAGAAGAATTGAGAGAAGTGATGAGCACTTCTCTCATTGTGAATCTGCCCTCGACTATCAACGAAGCTCTTTTCAGGATTGAGGACATGACTAAATCAACGGAGATCAACAATGACATGAATCTCAATATCGGGCCATTCGGTGTTTTCAATGGAACATATGCGGTTGAAGACAGGAAGCCAAAGGCAGAACAAGGTGCGAAGCCAAATATTGCAGTGGTCGAGAAACGCACTTCCGACGATTCCCCCATTATCTCCTTTTCGGAAGGCACCGTCTCACCCTTCACCGGATGCAACATGAATCCTATGCGAGACAACAATGACGCCACGACCGATATCTCGGGATATTCCGGACCTAATGAGAACGACTTCACGATGTTTAACGCCCTCGATGAGCTGTTCTCGGACTCTCTAGATTTCCTTCAATGGGGGGACTTGTTCACCTGGGATATCGGAGTGAACAATTCTCCCCAGCCAAGCCATTCCATGGACTGTGTTCCAACTACCAATCAACCAGTATACGATACGCTAGACGGATGGACGCTCTGTGAAACGATCAATTTGCAGACAACAGACACCCGAGAGTCCAACAGCATACAGCCTGACGCCATCTTACAGCCAAAGAAGATCTAGTCGTGGATGCTCCGCTTCTACTGAGGCACTTCTATGACGAAGTAATTAATCAAATGGGCTCACTGCCGATTAACGAGAAGTCCGCTTGGAGAATCTTGAACTTTCCTTCTGCTATCGTAACACTCAGCCAGCTTACTATCCTTGGACTTTCCAGTAATGATATCCGACACGCCAACCTATCAAACCTCTATGCCATCATTGCGGTATCCGCATTTCATCTATCGCTCAATTCAGAGAACTTTCCGGAGCTAGCTAAGCCAGGGAGTTACTGGATGTCTCTTTCTAAGAGGACATATGAATGTGCCAAGTCCCAATTAATGCTCAGCTTCGAGAAAGAGTCTGCTACTCCAACAAAGGCCAAATACAAGGAACAACTGATGGCCGCCGCAGCCATTCTTGCAACCGCTGTAGGTACTTCACTAATACCATGATTCTGGAATTGTGCTGACTCTAGAACAGCTACTGTCTGGTAACGAACAAGACACATGCCGCTATCTCCTAGAAATGGAGAGGCTTATTCGTGTTCGCGGATTGCGAAAGTCAAAGTTATCACGTCGAGCCCGACTGTTGCATAATGTTTACGCCTGGATGAGGATAGTCTCGGAAAGCACTAAGACATTCCATGACGAAGCACCAAGACTCGACTCAACGAGCATTAATGGTATCTGGGTTACTTCTCATGACCAGGCTCAGCTCGGAACAGCATCATCTAGACCAGTCATCCCCAGCTCGGAGTTGCTGGGAAAAGGCTACCCAGAAATTACTCTTGATAACTTTCTTCACTTGGAACCTTTCCAACTTCATCCTGACCACACTTCCGGTGGGCCCATCAACGATGATGTGCCCCTTACTAACAAAGACATACATCTGGCGAGTTCGATACAGGACCAAGAAGACATGTATATGCAGATCTACGGCGTGCCCGAAACTTGGCTGAGGCTTGTATCTCAGATTACGCGACTGGCCAACGTCATGGATCATCTAGCGCCAAAGGAAAGCCAGCCTGACGCCATCAAAATGGCAGCACTGCAGCCAAAGGCATCTTATCTCGAGGAAGCTGTCTGTGCTTTTAGAGCAAGATACAACGGTCAGCATGAACAGGATCTGGATGACGAGAAGCCCCATGTGCACGTGGTGCGGGCGTTAAGCCTGGCCCTGATGATATTTTTTTATCGGAGGATTCGAAAGATTAATCCCATGCTGCTCCAGGAAAGCGTCAATGAAGTGATGGAAGCCTTGCAAGGGTTCGATGACGCGCTGAGCCGGAACAAGTTGCTAGGGCCAGGCACAGCCTGGCCAGCTTTCATTGCAGGCGCAGAAGCGACGAAACCAGAGAAACGGGAGCAATTCAGTTCTCGGCTGTTGAGAGCCCATGCTAAGTCTGGATGGAAAGGTTACTGCGTGTCGAGGGAAGTTTTGCGGGAGGTTTGGAGAAATCAGGATGCTGATGATAACACGTCAAGACGCTCAACGTGGGTAGATGTTTGCAGGAGGAACCGTCGCTGGCCACTACTATGTTGAGACACATGCAGAGGATGGGTGTAATAGAATGATAAGCAGCAAGCTGGGTTCATGTTCATTTGCATGTGGGGATTAGTCAAGGTAAACGCAAGTCTTGAGGCATGTGCAAGCCTTCGAATAACGTTACGTTAAATCAGGAGTATGTATTCAACAGTGCGGTACGCCTTTACTTGATCAATGTATCTAAGCGACAGAGAGCGTCCCAATAAAGTGTGCTCTAAATATGCTTCTCGTTGAGTTCACTAACGTTCCTATTCAGGTCGTCCTCGTCGAGCTTCTTGGCGCTATTATCACCTCCAGTTAATTCGAACACTACGATGAGATGTGTTAGTGAATTCAACTTTAAACGAAAAAAGGGGACGTAATGGAAGTCCAAGGCAACAGAGACATGGAAAAGCTTTGACTTACAATCAACGGGGGTGGTCGCGAACTGACGAGCCGGAGTCCTCTTCTGGAACAGGTAGTCCAGCTCTGCGAAAGTGCGGTTCTTAGTTTCAGGGAGGAAGAAGAAGATCAGTACAGCCCAGAGGCAGCAAAGTCCGAAATAGAACAACCCAGTCTTCGCACCCCAGTTCCAAGAGTCGCTGCTGGAGTTAAGCATGCGGGGGTTGAGCTGCTGCACGACGATTTGGCCAACGACGTAGATAGCGCGACCTAGAACAATCGTCTGAGCTCGAACGCGACTCGAGGGCGTCTCTCCGACAATGGTGTATGTTGTAGGACCCAGCGATAGCTTAAAGGTCAGGTTGACAATAATCATGACCACAGCTACAGCGAGAGCAACGTTGGTTTTTCCTGGGATGAAACCTAGGATGCCGATGACGAGCATGAGGAGACCAATGATTGAGGAACCCCAGAAGAAGAAGACGCGACGCCCAACTCTGCCCATGAGTGAAATAGCAATTGCAGTGCCCACGATGTTGCCCGACTGGATACCCATGCTGAAGTCAAAGGCTCGGACCTCTGGCATACCGGCCGATTGCAAGAAGATGGTGGCATAGGCGCAGATGGCCTGGCCGTTGAGAATTTGAATAAGCCAAGCCATGGCCACAATGCCTGTGCGGCGCAAGTTGGTACCATGGAAACAATCGCGGTAGCTAGCGCCAGCTGACTCAATCTTCTCCATTTCGTTGGTGTGTCTCATCAGAGCCAATGTCTGAGCCATGGTCTCTTCGGTATAAAAGTTCTTGCGGGCAAGACGGCGTAGGGATTTCTCGGCTTCTTCGATGCGGCCACGGCGAACAAGGTACCATGGACTTTCAGGGGCGAGAAAGCCAACAGTGAACAGGGGCACCACCCAAACCCATTGGAGGGCGTAAGGAATCTTCCATGCCAAGTCTCCCTTCAGACCTAGGGAACCACGAAGAACGCCTGCGGCAAGGAATGAGCCGCAGCCCCAACACATGGAAACCCAGGCAGTCAAATAGCCTCGCATTGCGGCAGGGCAAATTTCGGCAGCGTAGGCGGTGGTTAGGGTCTGGAAGATACCCCAGGGAATGCCGCACAAAATGTTGGCGGCGAAAAGCATCTGAACGTTGACTGCGAAGAACAACGAAAAGATCGTGCATCCCATGAGTGCCATGGCACCCATGTAAACTCGTCGGGAACCATAGCGGGACTGAAGCCAGCCGTTGAAAAGCAGTCCAATGATGCTACCGAGGTTGTTGCCGTTACCGATGGCCGCTTGCCACGAAGTCGGAATATGTTGCTTGCCGTTGGCGTCTGGCCAGCCGAACCTCCTCAAATACGCCTTTTGTCCAAAGAAGTTGTTGACAAGACCGACGTCCATGCCTTCCATAATCAGGGCCATGCTTAGGAGCATGCTGTAGATGGCGGCTGGCAGATATCGTGACACGAGCTCCTTGCGAGGCAGCCTAGTCTCTTCTTCGCTAGCGGCTGCGGCAGCCTGAATAAGAGCAATGTTGGGAGTGTATGTGCCATATTCTGCGTGGTCAACGGACCTGGACCTGGCCTTGGCCAAGGTTTCGGGCAGTCCCTTTTCGTTGTCGGCCATCTTGACACTCTAGTCGTCTAAGCTGATGCTTTATGTGACGATGATAGCGGGAAGTGATGTGGTTAGAGAAGACAGGAGACTTGCCAGTAAGCAGAAGAGCGGAAGATGGAGAAGATAAGCACTTTTGTGTTGCACGTCTGAATACCATTGATCGGACCGGTTCCCTGGTTGCCAAGATGCCAAGAAGTGTCCTCCAACCACCTGCCCTTGATGCTGGGGTTATTCGCGCAAGTTCAATCCCGAGTTTGGATTGCGTGAACTCAATTTCCCCACACTATCCCCATGGGGTTTACAGTTGTCTTTTTGGGGAATGCGTAAATGAAGCGGGGATAGAAGACGAAATTCTGGGGTATCTTTCGACCGAGCGCGTGAGGAAATTGCTAGGGGAGGAGCTCCTTTGCGCCGGTAGATCAGGTGCCTCATTGATGCAGAAGTATCTACCAGGATCCCGACCTCTCGTTCAGATTACTTTCGAGATGGTGTGGTGTAGCGTGCTCGTGTCTGGACGAACTACTTCATGGTCGATGCACTGAACCCTGAAAGCTGATGGTCATGGGTAACGATGCCCATGTCTTGGCTGCATGCAACAGCTTGACACAAAGATAGGAATGCAGACAGTGAAGTCTACGAGAAGCGATCGAGGCTGCGAGCATTGCATCGTCTGACGGGACTAGTGTGCGTGCCTAAAGAAACAGGAGGAAAAAAGGTACTATCGCACAAGCTCCGTGCGTACTCGGAATGATTCAGTCATGTCCCCAAGTCATGCCAGTTCGTCTTGAGATTTAGCGAAGCCAACTTTGTTTTCTCTCCGTCGAGCTTGCCCAGCGCAGTGCCTAGTCTTGGCTCCTTGGCTCCCAAGCCGCTTGCGCCGCAACTGCAATTTCACATCGGACTTACGCACTTGATATGGATTAATTAGTCTACATCTGTCGCCGCCAGATGGCCCGGTATCACTGCAGAAAGCCTGAAGGATTTGGGGATTGAGGAGGATAACAACATATTCTGCATGCGGTGTGCTCAATCAAGCCCATGATAAGTCAGACGCGAAGTGGGATTAAGGTCGACTTTTGCGAAACAAAAGGCAGGCAGTGACCGACTGGGGGGAGAGCTGGCGTCTCCCTATTGGCCTGATGCACCCACCTGGGGACTTTTGCTGGGGTAATAAACGCGGGGTGGAGGTGACACTTCCGAGGTTCTGGTTCACTCTCCGCTTTTTCTAGTTGATGCATCCTGTTATCCGCGCGATGGCACATTGTTTTCACAGGCGATGACAATTGCAATGTGATTTCATCATCATCACAAAGCTGGGTCAGAAATTTACCCATTGTTCTTCATGTGCGTGGCACCAGTAGATAAAGTAGCTAACGTGGTTTACCAGTCAGCCGCGCATATCAGTCAGCCGCGCATATCAGTCAGCCGCGCATATCAGTCAGCCGCGCATATCAGTCAGCCGCGCATTTCCTTATCGTATACTAAGTCGCCTACATTATATAATTAATATCTTTTTCATTGTTGGTTATATAACGTTCAAATTTTTTCATTAGTCTTTGATAAGAGTCACTAAACTAAATAAAAAGTTTTAAAAATTAATTTCTATTTAGAGAAAGAGTAAATAACTATATTATATCCTTATTAAAGACCCATTTTTCTATTCCACTACTTATTTCAATATAAAAAGATTAATGTGTCTTTTTTTATTAAATCTAACTAGTTATAACTAACTATTTTAAATAGTTATATTATGAAGATACTAAAATATTTCTAATTAGTTATTATTCAAAGAAATTAGGTAAATATGCAATTTAGTATGCGATAAGGAAATGCGCGGCTGACTGGTAAACCACGTTATGAGACTTTTGTTTTCACTGCATCAGTGTCTTCACCGTGGATCGGGAACAGCCATGTAAACGGGGCACTTCAGGCAGTTGGAGGGAGGAGGAATCCCTCGAGTTTGATTTGTTGTCATTTCAAGGCACACCTCGGTCGACTTAGACCGAAGGCCAAGAGACAACACGGTTTGCCCAGCCTTGGTAAACGCCACCAAATATTCATTCCACCACTAGGATAATAGGAAGAGCGAGCGTGTTCCTAGATGTAGTGGGCTGACGAGACTCGATGAGCTGCTACTTGAATCCTGTGGAACATGTTGGTTTTGACAAAGTCCGCTGCCTCTTCTTCAGAAATCCTGCTACACCCTCCGTGCTGCAAGCCGAGAGAAGCAATGTTGCTCGACTTGGCAACCGCCCTCGTAGTACATACATGCCCCGAAGACTCACCTCACTGCTGGTGGAATGTTGATGTGACCCGCCACTCAGGACTGAAATCTAATAACTGGTCCACGCTTACAATGCACTTGCATTGCATGAGGTAGGGTCTGAGAGCAGCCGACCTCATAGTTGCTTAGGCTATGTTGATTCGTTATTACCGATTACTTGGTGCTATAGTCCATCGAACTTCGAGCATCTCAAGAGGGAGATCATATCCTTGTGTAATTTTGCTTACAATACGCGGTGCTTAGTATTGACTACCATTGCAAAAGATTGTGGGAATGATCACGGCCGACAGGTGCCCTTGTAATATGTTTAGTAGGCTGGAGCAAATGTTGCCAAGTGGAAGAAGCAAGGAGTAAAAGGAAATTGTTGGTATTCCTTTCACAGGGAATTTGGTTCGAACCGTAGGGTCCTGGGGGTGACGAAGTATCAATATCTCTGTATTGATTGATTCTGCGTAAGGAGTAAAAGGGAGATTCCAACCGGAGGTTGGGTGGGTAGTCGAGGTCTAATTGTACTCCCTCGAGATGGCCCATGCTCTGCCCTTACTCGCGGTCGAATTGGACTTCTAATTCGACAGAAATGTATTCAGTCATCTGTCGTTTGCATCACTGATTCATTTAAGGAGACTACTTACCTTACTTTACTAAGTTTGTTATTGTACCTCGATGGTCAACCATAGAAAATCGAAAATGCACAACTCCGGCGAAATTCTGGATGACCTACTACCTTAGGAATCGGAATCGCAAAGAACTGGAAGCTGTTTACGCTTCATAGGCCTGGGGAATAACACTATGAGATACATTTCCCCCCCTATAGGGAAGGGGAACTATTACCAAGTAATCTGTTTTCGGTAACTATGCAATAGCAATCCGGAAATTGGGCCATGACTCAGTCCGAAGTTTTCCCAATCGATACTTACAACGTAAAAAGACATTGCTATTGGGAAAGGGATCCTGCTGAGCAACATCACGTTTTTCACTGCGTAGTACGTGACAGAAAACGATCTACCCACGGTCGCTAAGGACTAAGAAGCTAAGTAGACGTCACCGGCTAAGGTAAGCATAGTATCTTGGCGAACAACTTGGGAAGCTGCCCACGTCGTCGGAAACAATGTGTGAAAGAGTCTTAATTTTGATTAGAAGACTGAAGCTTTCAACCAACCGTCGTAAAACTCCTGAGTAAAGTAGTGTGGGCAGTACACACTGCTCATCTGGACCAACGAGGCAAGCAATGAGGCAATACGACTGGTGTTGACGGTTGGTTGGTGATGTTGTGGTGAAGGTGGCTGCGGTGGGCTGGATCAACCAGGAGGTGGATCAGGCAGCTGGTGCCTGGGGCACCAGCCACTGCCTCAGGTATCCACAGTCCCATAAGTAGTCGTAGAGTAACTTACCTTAAATACTTAAAGAGCTCGTCGGTATTTGTTCCACCTAGTTCAAGCGCGAAATGTCTCCATCTGGCGAGAACCTTCCCTCGTGGGCCAAGTCCGAGCTAACGTACCTCACCCAGGACAAGAATTGAACTTACTAAAGCCTACACGTACTGTAAGTTGATTTCTTGAATCTTACTCAATAATGCCCGGTTTTTTTGCAGACGAGGGAAGGTAGAAGCCGTTCGTCGATTCTGCAAATGACGGGTGGTCCTGGTGTACTAAAAACACCTCACCAATGCAGATACTTGTCAATAGCAGGGTGGCATTGATCACTAATCATCAACTCAATCCTGAGCCGGTATTACCTTTTTAAAGATGCTGTAGACTCTTGATCAGCGGCACTTCTCGGTTCGTCCGTCTAGTCCGTATACACTGGCTAGAGATCAACAACGCAAAGAAATATCTTCGACTGTGTATGAAATTGAAAAGAAACACTGCAGTTTCTGAATTATGTCCGTGATGGAGATTATAGACCCAAGGTAGGCGTGCTACAAGCAGGTCGCTAAAGGAGAGAGCAAGGCTTAAGAAAGGCTAAGTGTCGGATTGGAAGTCCAATTCGGCCGCGAGTAGGGGAAGAGCATGGGCCACCTCGAGGGGGTACACTTAGACCTCGACTACCCACCCAACCTCCGGTTGGAATCTCCCTTCTACTCCTCACGCAGAATCAATCAATACAGAGATATTGATACTTCGTCACCCCCAGGACCCTACGGTTCGAACCAAATTCCCTGTGAAAGGAATACCAACACTGATCAGTGGTTAAATTCCACTATCGCAGATCAGCAAGGCATCCCACGAAAGCAGAAGAGGCGACCCTCTAATACCGAACGGGATAGAGGAATCGTGCTCCCTTGACCTCTCGAATCTCACGAGAGGAGGCGTCCATCACGTCAGCAACGCCTTTGACGGTCGACCGGCCAGACGCCTCGAGCGCCCGACGACCGACGAAGGATCCTTTACTTATAAGTCAAACCCCCCACTTCCTGGCACCCCACTGTTTCTGGCACCCACAAAAACGCGAAAATCCACCACAACCCAATGCCCACCCCCAACCTCCTTTTATCACAACATTTTCAATTCGCGTCCAAATGGGCTCATCTTTTGCACATACCTTCTTCTATATCTAATGCCTCAATATACCGAAGATCAGCTTCGTCAGGCTCTCGAGGACATCTCAAACGGCAAGAGTCAAAAGAGAGCCTCATTGGAGTATGGGATACCACGATCAACCCTCCAACTACGTCTCCAAGGTGGTCAGACTAGGAAAGTGGCTTTTGCTGACTGGCAGAGGCTGTCTCCTGACCAGGAGAGTAAGCTGGCACAATGGGTTCGCATTCAGGCTTCGCTGGGCCTCGCACCAACGCACCAACAGGTGAAGGAATTCGCAGAGCGAGTTCTGGCTGCTGCTGGGGATACCAAACCACTGGGAAAAGGCTGGATCTATGCCTTTGTGAGAAGGAACCCTATCATTAAGGTTCAGAGAAGTCGTTCTATCGATTCTAGA